TGGACTACCTTCCAGTTTCACACTCGGCGTCCTGGCTTCAAACGATGCCATTGCAGGGCCGGTGGACGGAGGCGCCGAAGGATTATCAGGCATCCGTGAAGAAGACGGGTCACCGCTCCTTGAGGCCTTCGATTGTGATCTCGCTGCATTCCCCGACGACTGTGCTTCCGATTGCATCACCGGAAGATGCTGGCCGCGGAGTTTCCCCCGACTCGCGACTCCAACACCCCATGTCAACGTCGTCTTGTATCCGGAACATTCGCGGCCAAGGTCGAGGCACTGGGAGCAATAGGGTCGGCGCCGGTCACACCGTGCTCCTCGCTTGGAGCAGGCAAAGCAGTCGTCGGGCGCTCCGCTGACCACGGTTCTCTTGCGGCGTTTTCGGATCGGAGCGTTCGGGTCGGTCTTGCGGGATTTTCCCTTGGGCGCGGCGTCTCGCATGGGACTATCTACATTATCGGAGGCCATCTTGAGCTGGCGTGGGCAATGCCCGGATGGAGTCCATCCGTCAAGATCTCCTGAAAGACCTATGCGATTGAAATAATAGGCGTTCACGGGGCGTAAGTTACTTTGTGCGGGTAGATTCCGTAGATTCGTAATTGGGGCGGAAATATGGAATCCCGAAAGATCGGCGAATCCAATAGGGGTTTGGGGGGGGGAAGACGTATTTAAGTAGAAACTGTAGACTCTCTGAGTTTCGACTCAAAAAGAAGGAATAATAATATGACGGAGGAAAGGTTGGGGGGTGGATATGCGATCTTCCCCGGTGGAGGCTGATCCGCGCTTTAGTCGACCTGCCCACGTGGATTGGGGACGCCTTTTAAAGGCAAATGGTCCCACGATGATCATGAAATCATTCATACCATTGGAATATGGGAATGGTTATATATCAGTGTCTGATATTTGTTCTGATTCGATCTTTCATGTGGCCTCAATGCTAGTTAGCACCTGGGCAGGCCTCGGCTTTCAGGGGTACAATCGGGGGATTTCGAGCGGTCTCGTGTCTCATGTCCGATATTGATTCCTTCAAAGGATCCAATATTGATTATATAGGACAATATATGTAGACATGCTGGTCCAGCAAGTCGTGCATGTACGTCGTAAGGTACGTAGGCCGTTGTGGCCTTCTAAGGTTGCCAAGCCTAATCTTCTTTTCCGCCCGGACTCCCTGGATGCGCCACAACTCTGCAACCAACTCCTCCGGTCGTCACATTCTGTGAATCGGGCAATATATATATGAATCCTCTTTATTCCTTCACTTGATAAATAAAAGTCGATCGGCGTGCCCGTGCGCCGCTCCTTTAACCCCTGAATCAAAGCGCAGTTATCCGAACTATCTAGCAATAATGGGTGCTTTGCGACCTGGGAGAGCGAAGGCGCTCGTACTAGCGATGCTCGCTCTGATTCTAGTGTGCACCGTCTACTTTTACCGATCCCCAATCACCGCGTCCTCCAACGTCCCCCTAGTCCCAAACACAGCATTCGAGGTTCCACTCACGGAACGCCAGAAGGACTTCTGGAAAGTTCTTCGACCCATAATTGAACGCCACAAGCCGAGTTGCCCTTCCCCGGAAAAGCGAGGCGATGTCGAAGCTCAGCACTTTGACCCCACAAAAGACGTGCCGCGACCCGATCTGACGGGCCTGAGCGATGAAGATGTACGCAAGATGGAGGAAGCCCATGCGGCCTTCATCGAGGATATCAAGCAGTCAGACAAGGAGTTGAAACCGATTCATACCCCAGGCAAGCGAGGACTGGTATCGACAGCTGGCTCTACATACCTCCCGGTGTTTGTCTCATCACTGCGCATGCTCCGTCGCGCGGGGTCAACGTTGCCAGTTGAACTCTACATGAAGGACGCCACTGAACATGAGAAAGAAATTTGCAACGAGGTGCTTCCTAAACTCGATGCGCGGTGCTTGGTGCTGGCGGACGTGGTGGGTAAAAACATCATTGAACACTATCAACTCAAGATCTTCGCAGTTCTTTTCTCGTCCTTCGAAGAAATTGTCTGGATGGATGCCGACTGCTTCCCTCTTGGTAAACCCGAGGATTTGCTTGACTCGGAGCCATTCAAAACCAATGGTCTTGTCACATGGCCCGACTTCTGGGCTTCCTCCACATCTCCCTTGTACTACAAAATTTCACGCCAACAGGCACCGTCCATGGCTGCCAGACAGTCGTCAGAAACCGGGGTATTCTTAGTATCTAAGAAAACTCACTCTCTAGCGCTCTTGCTGGCAGCTTATTATAACTTTTACGGCCCCTCGCATTATTTCCGCTTGTTGAGTCAAGGGGCACCTGGCGAGGGAGACAAGGAAACCTTTATCCAAGCTGCCTCAGCCGTAGGCGCACTGTTCTATACTGTCAGTGAACGTGTGCAGGCTGTCGGACACGCGAACGCGGACGGGCTGTCCGGGTCGGCTATGGCACAGTCAGATCCGCGCGAGGATTTTGCCTTGATCCAGCAGGACAAGTGGCGTGTAAAAGACGAGTCGGTTGCCCCCGCACCGCACGTCTTCTTCATCCACGCAAACTATCCCAAGTTTAACCCCGGTGACCGGATCTTCGGCATGGGATGGGAAACAACTCCTACCTTAAAGAAGGACGGCTCAGATGGACGCGCTTGGTTGGCACCCCCAGAGACCATCAAGCGATTTGGATACGATGTCGAAAAGGCTTACTGGGAGGAGATCAAATGGGTGAGCTGCAATCTCGAAACGGCGTTCAAGACGTGGGAGAACAAAGTGGACCTATGCAAGAGAGTCGAGGAATACTGGGGTCATGTCTTTGCCGAGCCGCATGACGATGACCCCAAGTTTACTCTGGATGGCTGATCTCAGGTCTCACTGGCATATTTTGTGCCTTGGGCCGCTTCTCGACCAGTCGGCTTCCTCTCCCCTCTCCTCCCCTCCACTCCACTCGCCGAACATGATTCCGATGTTTGGCTTATATCCAACTGCACTCCGGATATACGCCTGCTATGGCCTCGGTATCTGTGTCGATAAGCCCTGTCTTGGTTGGCAGTGGAGCTCTTCGATCACCCAAGCCATTCTATTTTGGCTAAATAATAAGCCAGTCACCCTATTGGAAGGGTTGCAGGTATTTGGTGCCTGTTTGGCTTTGTATATGCTGTCATACTTCATGATGTACAATAGCTTCGCCTTGACATCTGTCTCGTACATATCGTATAATTGTGTTTCGAAAGCGATCTCACGACATATGTTCTATTTATTCTTACGTTTACAATGGTATATTTGGATTTGGACCACATTTTCCCTCTTCATGTAAACTGTTACACCGGTTCTCCCTTCCACGTAGGAAAGTGTAAATGATATATGACGCTATCCTATGTCCTTGGCAGGTGGAAGTGGCATGAAGAATTTGACCCGCAGACCTCGGGTGCATTCCGATCGATAGCGTTAAATTATGCTTGGTCATCCAACTAGCGACGGGTCAGGGTTGCGAACACCCAGATAACCACATAGACACGTGCTTCAATTGCTTCAAAATCTACAAGATACTGTATACAAGCTACAAATCTTCAACGCCCGTCTGTCTTGTCATCAATGTAGGTATACATTCAATGGCCCGGTACTCATTCGAGATAACGTTAGACCAGATATCATTATTATTGTACATCATGTTCCACCATGAACCCTCCCATTCCCCGCTGATGAATATTCAAATTCCAATCAGAAGACATGAGGGGGTATTTGTGACATAAAAAAAAAACAGCATTATTGAATTTAGTGCTTAATGCCCTTCTCCCGCAGACGCTGCTCATCATCAGCCTGGAGCTCAGCATCAATCTTAGCACCCTTGGACGGAGCATTGCCGTGGAAGATAGCCTGTACCGAAGCCAACGTTAGCAAATGCATCTTAATCAAGAGTTTCATGTGAGCGAAAGTTGTATGTAACTTACAGGCTTGGTAGGATTTTGCTTGCTCATCTCGGCCTCGGCGTCGTACTCGCTATTGTGGTGGTGTGTGGAGTCAGGCTTGTTCTCCTGAGAGGCAAGCTTGTTGGCAATGGAGCGGCCGTCCTTAGAATCAAGGTGCTTGTGGCTATTGGGCATGCCCTCGGCATAGCGGGCGCGCTCTTGGAGCTCGGATACAGGGACGTTGCGCTGGTCGCCTGCCTCGTAGATGCTGCGGTTTCCGACGCTGGATTGACCTGAGTTCGACATTTTGTGTAGATATAAAGTGGATTTAGGGATTGAGAGGTTGGGAAGTGTCGTAAAGAAGTAGTTCGTTTGAATAGAAGAGGAGATTGATTGATTCTTTTTTTCACCATTGGAAGAGCTCGGTCTTATACTTGGTATGCTGGTTGTGATGTCATGCTGGAGTCACTGAGATCATAGTGGGGCGTAGCCCGGTTTGGCACAAAAGATCCTTGTTCATCATTGATTGCAAGTACTCTTGGGCCTTCTCTGGGGTTCTGATAATTTGAGAAAAGCGTTGCAATCAAGGCATTGGTGCTCGATGACATTCGAAGGTGGTTGATCTTGACTTTAGAGTTCCACTTAATTTCCGCCCCACTTTATACCTTGAGAAGAACGTTGTAGATTGCTACAACCTACCTTTGTGTGAATAAGTTGTTTTCGTTAGTTATTATGATCCAGTGCAGATAGCTTTGTACCTATTGACTTCTTCTAGTCGGAAAGTCTTTCGATTTTTCACAGATCGTATTTCGATGATAGTTATCATGTCGGCGGTCATCTTATTCATCGGCTCTGGCTACGTCGCCATCGCAATTCCGCTGTGCATTGTAGTCATCGTGGCCATCCAGCTGTTCTATCTGCGCACATCCTGACAGCTGCGAATACTCGATATTGAAGCCAAGGCGCCTCTCTTCTCCCAGTTCTTGGAAACCTGGGTGGTATATCCTCTATACGAGCCTTTGGCTGGACAAGCCACTACGTCGAATCCGTCGACGACTCCCTCAACGTGTCACAAAAGCCATACTATCTGCTGTGGTGTGTCCAGCGATGGCTGACAATGGTACTAGACCTATTTGTCGCTGGAATCGCCATTATTCTCGTTGCCTTTGCGACAAATATCAGAGGCAGTGGCTCAACTGGCTATCTCGGCGTAGCCCTGTATCAAATCGTGACATTCAGTACCACGCTACAGACGCTCGTTACCGAGTGGACGCAGGTTGAAATGGCTCTTGGGGCTATCAGTCGTGTCCGTACCTATATTCTCGACGCAAAAGACGAGAACCTGCCCAATGAGACCGGACATGTCAGCGACAAATGGCCCGCAAAGGGTGCCATTGTATTCAACGGTGTCACTGTATCCTATGCACTTCCACGGACCCAGTACTCAAGGACATCAACCTTTCCATAACCCCTGGTGAAAATGTAGCCATCTGCGGTCGCACAGGTAGCGGCAAATCTTCCCTGGTATCAACTCTCCTGCGCATGCTGGAGCTTCAATCAGGATCGATTTGCGTTGACGACATCGACATCAGCACCATCACTCGCCAGGCCGTTCGTGCTCGCTTCAACTCCCTTCCCCAAGACCCGTTCTTCCTACAAGGCACCGTCCGCGAGAACCTTGATCCTCTCAGGGTCGCAACCGACGAGCGCTTGGTTCAGGCACTTCAGTCTGTGCGCCTATGGGACTTTTGCGAGTCTCGCGGCGGGCTGGATGAGGATATGAACGAAGGGACCTTGTCGCATGGACAGAGGCAGCTGTTCTGCCTTGTTCGAGCAGTAATCAATCCAAGCAGCGTCCTCATTATGGATGAGGTGGGTGGCAGTGTTGACGCGGATACGGACGCTTTGATACACGAGGTTCTGCGGAAAGAATTTGAGGCGTGCACTGTCATTGCTGTTGTTCACAAGCTACACACAACGCTGGACTTTGATCGCTTCGTGGTGCTAAACAAAGGGCGTATCGTTGAGGAGGGCCCACCGCGTGAGCTGCTTGAACGGCCAGGATCACTGTTCAAGGCGCTATATGACAGCATGCAGACAGACGAGAGGTAATTTGGTATATCTTGCTCCAGTAAGGGCTAAAATTCTGGTAATAGTAGATGAGTATCTATTTTTCGTTACTTCTTGTTAGGCATGGGATATAGAAATTGTATGAAGTCCTACAACTTAGAAGTGGCTGTGATATTTCTATTAAATGGCCAAACAGGCAGCAGTCGGATTAAAGCCTCACCGCCCCGGTTAGGCAATCCGAAGGGCCCAACGTTGAGAGCTACTTGGCACTGGCATGCACACTAAGCGTTGCAGCTGATCAAGCGTGTTATAATCCGGCCCCCATTCTCATGCCAGGTGGCATCTGTCATTTCAAGGTTTGAACTGAGGTATTTCCCGCGAAGAAACTGCCTGGAACCTACATGAACAGGCCTCTACAGTGGCATTCCGTAACGCACACCGGTAATTCGTCAAATCAGCAATATGAATCTCTTGCACTCGGCAGGGTTTGCGTCATATGTGACAGAGTTGATAAATCAGCAGCATGTCCCGGGGCTGGCGATTGCAATCATACACAATGATCAAATTGCCTCTGCGGGATATGGACATGCGAGCGTGGATCCCGAAATACCTTGCACAGCAGATACGCTGTTTGACATTGCATCGTCTGCTAAATCACTCACTGCTGCGGCGGTGGGATTGCTAGTCGACGATAATGACATGTTCCCGGATATTCAGTACGATGCTGTAATGTCGACTCTTATCCCCGAGGACTTTGTTATGTCTGGAGAAGGATACACAGAAGGAGTCACCGTGGAAGACATCTTAAGTCATAGAAGTGGAATGCCTTGGTGAGCTAATTCTTTCAAATTTCATGTTTGAGTTCAAGACTAATGATATTGCGCCAGCCATGACGATTCGTATATGAGTGTGAGAGCGGCAAAGCCAGACAATGCTCGATCCATTACGAGAAACCTCAGGAATCTCCCTGTCGCTGCTCCCATTCGATCAAAGTATATTTACTGCAACATGATGTATACAGTGGCAACCCATCTTGTGGAAGTCAAGAGCGGAAAGGATTTTGGTACATTCCTCGAAGAGCGATTTTTTCAAGCCTCTGGACATGGCATCAACTACTCTTCAACCCAGCAGCGCACGATCAAAAGGATTCGAATCCTGCATGGCAACTGGCTACACATGGAAAAGAGCCGACTCAACATATCGTGGGTTAGAAAATCCAGACTGCCCAGAAGGCCAAGGCGCAGGGTCTGTCATTTCGAGCGTGAACGACTTCATCAAATTTGTCAAGGCTTTTATGAATCGCGAAGACCCTATCAATAAGAATGTTTATGAAGGGCTCACTCGCCTGCGAACTTTTGTGAATCCAAACCCAGGAAGACGGAAGCGGCACACCTCACCGGTAGCATATGCTGCTGGCCTGGATATCTACTTTTACAAGGGACATATGGTTGTCGGCCATAATGGGGTATTCTCTGGATTCGGAAGTCGCTTCTTCTTTCTCCCTGATTTCTCATTCGGTACTGTGATCATGGGAAACTCAGATGGGGCAAATGGCGTTGCGGCGACCCTTGTCCAAAAGCTAATTGACAATCTCCTTGGAGTCACGGACGAAAGACCTCATGACAGCAAAAGCAAAGCCACACGACCTGTTGAAATTCGCGGTCCAAAACCCCAGGCCGAGGCGAAAGATGCAAATCCAATGAGTAAGAACCAGGGAAAGAAGGAGAAGAAAAAGCAGGAAAAGAAAACCCAAGCGAAGAAAAGTCAAGGTATCCAGAAGGGCCAATTGAATGAACAAATACCAAAAAGGAATACTCCGCAGCCACCGACAATGCCTCTCAGTGCTTACGCTGGCAACTACTGGAATCCTGGGTATCATAACTTACTGGTTCAAATCAGAGATGATGCGCTCTTCATCGATGCTACAGATCGCTCAATGGGGTTTACCTTGAAATTCGAACATGTGTCCGATGACCGAAAATTCGATGCTCATCTTACTGATTGGCTCGATGGCAGTGATGACATCGTAAAAGCGGAGTTTGTAATAGAAGATGCTCAAGTCACAAGGTTGGGTCTGCAGTTGGAGGAAATGCTCAAGGAAATGATCTGGCTCGAGAAGAAGGATGAAAGAGTGAGTATCTTGAATTGAGGCTGACAAGAAATAATAATTTGGATTTGTAATAAGTGAAAATATCAACAAAATGAGGAAGAAAAAGAAAAAGATATATACAAATGAGTGACGGAGGGTTGAGAAGAGTATGAGCGTATCAAACTCTTAAGGAGGTCAAGCATAGTTTATACCAATCACGAAGAAATTGACCACTGTCCAGAGTAGGCACTATTGATGCTGAATTGACCCAAAGAGTCTGCATTGTCTCCAGTCACCGCTTGCCCTTGGACGGTCCATTCCGAAATGTCCAGCTCCATGGAGAGACTAGTCGATCCATTGTAAGTGGTATCACTTGTAGAAGCAATGATGGTGTCTCCGACGGGGACACTGCCACCGATCAGTCCATCGGGGAAGGATACTCCCTTCACACTGAAGTTCTTATAGTTCTGCAGAGGAGTAAGACGGAAAAGGCCGGGGCAAGGACCCTCGCAGTAGACGTTGGAAATAGTCATGCTGATTGACATGGAGTTATCAACATTATCGCTGCCGTCGTAGTTTGGCGAAGCACCAATAATGGCCGAAGGAACACCGTTCTCGCTCTTGCGATAGCGTGAGTGGATGATATTGAGTGTATCGATGGTAACGCCGGAAACTTCGCGAGGTGTCCAGCCCATCTGGATGATCGGATCATTGAAGGCCTTCCACACTGTGAGCCGGGATGCAGTGACCCCAGAGTAATACGTCTTGATAGCGTCATCGTTCACATGGTAGAAAACATCGTGCACACTGCCATTGGTGTACATCTGAGGGCCATCAGTCTGCATAAAGAAGGCCCCGACCTGCTTGTAATCGTAGATATCAACCGAGATGTCGTCTCGGTCGGAACTTCCATCCATCAAATCCATGGTGTTGAACGGGGGCGAAGTCAGAGTCGGTCCGACACAGTGCCAGATTTGGCCGCTTGTGACGCTCCGATGCCACCACATTCGAAGACTAGTCACGTCATCTTTGACTGCTGTGTAGCCTTGGTCCACATTTGCTTGGTAGACGTAGATTTCCCCAGACAAGACACCGTGGCCTGTGGCGTAAAAGTCCTGGGCTGTAGTGGTGTATTCGATTCCTCCTTTCACATACGCTCCAGGGGCAAGGTACACCCAGTAGGTGTTAGGATCAAGCTTGATGTGAGCTTCACCCAGAGGGTCCGAGTCGATATAGTACACGCCGGGCGGGAAGTAGACAATAGATGCCGAGCCAATGTCATTTGCTGTGAATGCACCAGGTGTCATCACCACGGTGTCGGCACCATCACTGGCTGGGACAAGGTCACTTGAGAGGAATGGGCTGGCGAAGATGAGCAGAGCGTTGATGGGTTCAATCCCAACGACTTCCCCTGATCCGTCGGTGGTATAAGCTTCTCCATCAGACCGGAAGGTGTAAAGGTCGTTGCCGAACTCCACGGAAAACTTGCGTCCGTTTTCATCAGCAGGGACACGGATGATCACTGCATTGTCCGCGTAACTGAGCTCATACGCAATGGTGCTGGGCCGAATGATAAGGTCCATGCCAACATCTTGACCGTCTCTGCGGGAAATAATGACATCGACGTCCTCACTATATTCAAACTGGGACCACGCCATATTGATGCCAGCATCTATCTCAATTGAAATTCCATCATCGCCGCTGAATGTGTCGGTGGTATCTCCGGGGGTCTGGATTTTTCCGTTGCCATTGCGAGGAATGCTTTCGTAGACGAAGGAATCGTATGAGGTGGTCGACCCAGCAGCGGCAACCTGAACGAGATATTGGTGAGATTGCCGGACATTGCCTGCTTCGACAGCAGTGGCTGTGTTTATCTCGGCAGTGTCGTGCCACCAGGTACAGAAATCCGAGCCACAGTGTGTGTTGGGGGTAGAGTCCGTATCTCGGGGTAGAACAAACGCCCCAGCTAGGGTTTGCAGCCCGATAGCAGGGAGTAGAAAAGATTTTAGAGTAATCATAGTGAAGGAATGGATGCTGGCTGAATTGATTGTTATTCTATCCAAGCAAGGGGGCAAAGCAGTCTTTATACAACGGTTTCTATATACCTGAAGGATTCACCCACCTCCACTCGTGAATTCTCGTGCATAGTTGGTGTGTTATTTATTTTGGTATTTTTACATATTAAGACCGAATTTATTATTATTTTTTTAAACAAGGGCTGCCTGATCTAAAAACAATTAAATCGGGGTTGGATTAGATGAAAGTTTAGATTAAGGGGGGGGATCAGCCTATGCCGGAAGCTCCGAGAGGTGTTCGTGCGGCATATGACGGTTGACCGATAATATTCAGTCTTGTTGATGATGCCATGGAGGGGGCCTACCGCATACTAAGTGTAGGGATTGACGGTTGAGGGTTTGAGAGCCATTCCATTACGCGGATGCCAAGTTCGTTAAATTAATTACCCCATAGTACTAGTGTAGTATGCCGCGTCTTATCTGGCATAACAATGGGATTCTTACTAACACAGAGACGAAGAGCCCCTTCAATCAAGGGAGTAATATGATTAGCATAGCTCCTACCAGTAATCCAACCCATTCATTCTCCTATGTTGTAAATGAGATATGGGTCCTCTAGGGGGCTCAGTTCAAATCAAAAGTACACCCAAGCTCCGCTTTTTCGACCATTTGGGATGTCAAAGTGGGTTATCTCGTCGATTTCACTCGTCGTCAGGTCCTCGACGGGGTTTTCTCGGCATAGAGTACCACACCGAATTGTACATCGTACGTTGTACTTGATTCCGAGTAATTCCATGAAAATCCGCTATCTGTCTATGTATAGTTCGTTACGCAGTGGAAACCAATCCTTCGAGAATGACCAATGGAAGATGGCTCCGTACCAATCCAGGCAAGCGTGGTTTTCGTTCGTCACAAAATCAGCCGCGTGGGGTCCCCGCAAACCACCCTGGTCCGTTCCCCGCAAACCAAACTGCCCGGAGAAGGCCCGAAACAAATCAGGAACAGCCCCGGAGCCCGCTTGTCAAACTCCGTGATTCGGAGTCTCTTCACAATAAGAAACAAAGTTTTGCCAACTGCGAATGACTGTTGAGAAAATCTCGGTATACCAAGACCCCATGACGTACGACAGCTACTAATTGCTTCTGCATTCTCTTCTCATTCGTCACGGCTTCCGTTCGCCGACAATTTTCCACGTGCAGATTTTCTGTCATTTACAAGAACCAGTGCTGAAGTTATACTCCGATGGCTAATTCCAGCTCTGTCAATTCGGCCAGCTCTCGGGTTCGCATGGCATTGAGATTGAACAAGGTTTTTATTATTGCGTCTGTGGCATTCAGGCATGCTTCGGAACTTTGACTATCTTCGTGCAGTTTGGTACACCTCATGCAGGTCGACAGACCTCTCTTTGCCCCAATTGCGTCTTTCGGGCCTCTATTGCTGAGTCCCTTTCCCTTCAAGCTATTCAGAGAGCTTCGTGGCTCCCCTTCGCTCAATTTATTTAACCACTCTTTCGGCACAAAAATCGTAAGGAACTACCCCATACTGTTCTCATATTTTCTCGCTATGTTGAAATACAATATCGTAACAATTATCCTGCTGGAAGGAGCGATGTAAGTAGCGGTGCAAGTAAGGTGGGTACATGGTCGAGGATGGCTAGGCCTGACAACTTGCGGGTATACCAAGACAAGACAGAACGGTGGGACTACCCCAACTCTAAGGATAAACCAAGCCAATCAACATATCCTGAGCAGTGTCCAAACCATCGAGGTGAGGGATACAGTCGACGTTGGATGTGCGAGAGATAATATCCCAGACGGCAGTTTTCACATTCGCTGCTGAATCAATCTGAGATAGCCAACATTGTTTGATGATTTGTCCACATAGTATATCAGATATATCGGGGAACTCTTTTTGAGTAAAAAGACTTTCAACCTCATTACTAGGAAGCTCCTCATACGGGCTGGTGCCTTGAGTAATCTCATAGAGAGTCGACCCTAGTGCGAAAAGATCTGTGGCCACCGTCGGTTGCTCTCTCCAATGTCGTGGAAGAAAAAACCGGGTTCCTTCACCAGAGGCTGGCTTCGAACCATCTAGTGAAGAGCCAGAGAAGTCAATAGTCTTGATGTCGAAGGCTGTATCTAACAGAAGATTTCGTGGTTTGATATCGCAATGGATAATTCCGTTTCTATGCAAGAGATCGACAGCCTCTGCGACTTGGTACGCCCACTTCAATTTGAGGCTCGTCGATATCGGGTCGTGAGCCTGAAGATATGTCTTGAGATCACCGTTTTTCATATATTCAAGCACAAGACCTTCCCTGGAATGACCTAGCATCCGAACAAGCCTCTTATGCGTCCAATGCGACGATAGATACTGGCTTCTTTGGCGATATCTATGATGCTGTTTTCGATCTCAGAACCTGGATATGGTGCCTTGAGTGCAGTCCCATCGTCAAGGAGCTCCACAATTCCAGTAATGCCTCCTGAGATCAGTTGGCCTTAAGCGTCCCTCACGCTGGAATAGCCCACGTTGGGTGCGATATCGTCTGAGTACCCATCAACTGAGCTCAGTGGGTTGGGTTGGTTGTCTTCCTATTGGTATTGTTAAAACGTCAGGCAACATTCTGGCAATAGGGCAAGGGAGTGTGGAGTACCGTCCTAACATCTCCAACAGGGGGCCAACTGATCGGACGTGGTAGCGAAGACATCTCTAATCTGACATTCTTGGTCGGGGAACATGGGTAGCAAGGGGCACCTTTGCAATAAAACAAGCCACACCACGTGATCATCAGCATGCAGGGAAGGCACAGGGTTGTAGAAATGATCAGAGGCATTATTTTGATATTATGCGCTTCTTAATGTACAGCTGATATGGAGCTGAGCCGGTGCTTCACTAGCCAAATAATGTAATTAAGCGTCATAGACAATTCGTTCGGATAGCCTAGGCCGTTTTGCATTAAATGGTCGATGATCGTTCTTAGTTTCTAGGATCGCGCTGGCTATTAATTCCTAGAACAAACATTCAATGTTTCGGTCTCATGTGGTAGGTTGATTGCATTCTGTACTTAAAGACGGAAATCTGTCTTGACAAGAGAGATATATATATACACACGAAAGGACTCCTCTTTCAGTTGCTACATATATTCGTCATATCGTACAGTTCATATATTACAACATCCGTCTCAAACCCCCCTCATCCTCGGACTGGTCACTTCGCCACTTCAGCGTCTGCTCTGTGGCCTGTCCTAGTCCCGCTTGAATACCTAGGTATTGGGGATCACGCTAAGCCAACTAATGCCACGGACTAGACTCTAGATTCCGATTGGCAAATTGTGGCCTAGCAATTGGAAATCCGAGCCAACCTTCGTGGGAAAGCATTCTCCAGCTTCCTGGTTGTAGCGTGGATGGGCAAAGGGAATATCCATATGCAACTTTGCATTGCAAGAGTCAAGGGCTCACCGATTCCGCTTGTCGACTCCTATTTCATGTCGCCAATTTCGGGTCGAAGCAATTGTCTTTAAAAGTCTTGTAACGTTGTAGTGACATACAATCATCTGGTCCGGGCAAGGAACCATCATTATCAGCTAGGGTGGGATTCCAGTAGGAAGGGAACGCTAAGTGCGGCGGCAGGGCCTCGAGGCCAAGTATGGCGTGGGACTGCTGAAGAAGCGAAGAAAATAGATACGACTGTCCTCCGCGAATATTCGACAGGAGGTCAATGATGCCGCATAAAACGGTTTGGGCGTGCGCGAATAGCTCTCCAACGCCGTCGTTTTTCCTGGGAAGTAACACATGTGCGAGCAATGAGACAGCCTCTCCAATGTCATAGAGCTTTTGTTCCTACAATACCGATAAGCATAGGGCCGATTCCCGCTGAGACAATTACTTACGATGCCTATCCCATGCGCATCAGCTGACTTTTGTGCAACAGTCGACATGAGAGCCATCACGGACTTCCCTGCCGTTATTGGGAGATCCAACGGCACGACGGCTCCCTGATGGCAGGTTGAGTCGACTTGATCGCTTACTACCTTCCATAAACGTGTTTGCAGCCACTGCCGCGTGACGATTAGATCGACTTTCTGGGTTTCGTTGTATTCAGCCAGCAAAGGGGTGGAAAGGGCAACCGATTGATATATAGGATTTATCATCGCAGAGTCACCGAGAGAGCCCGCGGCACTCGCATTCCAGTCGTAAAAGCTAGATGGGATCTTTTCGAAGACTGAAATCAAATTCACGAATCCATAAGCCAGTGCAGGGGAATTGGACGTGAAGACGGTCGGCTTCTGGATGTGTCCTCGTAGTGTGATTGGCATGTTACGCTGTAAGGCATACGCTCTGTCGTACAAAGTTAGCAAGTACGTATGCGCGATAGGATATAGTATAGGGCAAAGCATACCTCTCGGTAATGAAGAGTAGCCAGTAAATCCTTCTCCTCAACTCGGCCGTTTCAGGGTCTTGGGCTAGGTAGCTTGGTTCTTGATGCAGGTTCAAGAGGTGGGCAAATGAGATACTTTGGCTCAAGTAATGCCAGGCATGGTTATGTTTGTCCAGGTTGCCGTACGCCGAGAACAAAAAAAAGAATGCAAGAAGCGTATCGGTGTGCGGTTCGTCAAGGGGGTCGAATGCTTGTAGCGCTTGTATGGCTTGCTCGATTAGGCTTTGGCCAGACAATGAAAGTTCTTCGATAGTGCCACCCTCCGATATGTCAAGCTTCAGCTGCAGATGAGTCGCCGCACACAGTGCAACGAGAAAAGCATATCGTCTCGGTGACAGGGCTTCGGGGCTCATGCATTCAACTGTCACTGTGTCGGCATCGAATACTGGCATGATCGGGTAGAGATGTTTGAGAAAGATGTCGACATGAGCCTGCAACAAGACGGGGGATATCCTCTGGCGCGCTGCAGTAGGGAATGTCGGACTCTTGAGGAGGCCCACGAAGCGTGTGTCTGGGCATTCTGTCGTTGGTAAAAACGTCCATTGGTCCTCAAGATTTGACTCAGAGGGAGGACCGACAGCATCTGCGTGTCCTGCGTCACTTGCCGCGAACGAGACACTTGATGTGTGTGGAGATGAATGGTTGCTTGATGAAGACAGCGAGCTTAACACAGGAGCCGTGGGGCCTTTGGGTCCTTTCCGTCGGGGGACGGAGGTGTACTGGCAATTCAGAAACACCTCCTGACATTTTCCACAAGGTTGCTCGCGATTACATCGGACCTTGCGTCGGCGACAATTGTCGCAGGCCGGGGTGCGCTGTTGCGTGGGTCGAATAGAGGCACTCATTGTTGCCGAAATCAGCCCGATCAGTGCGCAAATGTACGCTTATTACGGAGTTATGTTCATCGGCTTTCATATTTATTTGCGGGGTGTCTCTCTAAACCGAAAAGGACTGGGCAATTTTTACCGACCACCGTTGGATGTAGCCATAACCCCGCAAATCCACGCGGGTCTGGTGCGATGGTCAGTCAGGTCAGGTCTGGTCAGGTGGAGATGCACTTGATAGGTACGGGCCTTCTTCGGGGCTGGTTTTGGGCCGCTTATTGACTATTAGACGGAGTTTCTAACCAATTGGAGTGCTCAAAAAGGTCCACAGTTTTACGCAATTGCTCGAATGACACGGTAGGGAATTTACGGAAAACGTATGATGATCACATGAAACGAAAAGCCCCAAAGAACTATGTATTTCACGGCATGGTCGGGGTTTGCCCAGCCACAACATATTAAGCCAACCACAAAAATGCCTCGAAAGGTGCAAGGGCAATGTCACTATCCACCACAGATCGTTTGTTCTGGGGATAGTTGGACAGAGCAATCGACCCGGAGGACCATAGTTTCTTGACCTGTTCCGGAATGGTCCACGATTTCTCGCTAGCTCGGAAGTTGATCACTGCAAGCGCAAGGCTGCCGGTCTCGGAGGTGCGAGTGTAGGCAAACACGTCAGGGTCCTCAGGGGAAATGAGCTCGAACGATCCGTATACTAGAACATCGGGGAATTCCTTTCTCAAGCGCAGAACATTCGACCAGTAGTGATATACACTCTGCTGATCATCCACCTGGATCGACGCATTCCAGACTGGATAATCATCGTGCACGGAGATCCAAGGCTTGGCATCGGAGAAGCCGGCGTAAGTAGAGGCGTCCCATTGCATGGGAGTCCGGCCATTATCTCTCGATTTCTTCCGATATTCGGCAAGACTAGTGGAGTGCAGATCATTATCTTCCGGCTTCGTGGATACAATTCTGTAAAGATCCGTTAGTGGTCGCACCGTGTTTGGAATAGACGGACATGCTTACTCTTGCCAATGGTTCAGTGTTTCGATATCCTGGTACTTCTCAATCGCCCATCCATTTGGCACATTAGGCATGCCGAGCTCCTGGCCCTGGTAAATGAAAACAGTACCGCTCTGGAAGCCCAAGAAAGTGGCCAGCATCTTCGCGGACAGAGTCCGGTCTTCAAGTTTGTCAGACGCGAACCGGGAAACTGTCCGCGGCTGGTCGTGATTCTCGAGATACAAGGCGTTCCATCCATTGTTTTGGTGCATGAATGTTTGCCACTTTGACACGATGGCTTTGAGATCTTGCATTTCCCAATTACCGCTGGTAAACTTACCTCCTGGTCCGTGGTCCAGTGAAACGCTTCGAGCTGGTTAGCCAATGTGTTTGAGCCAAATAAGCCAGATCACTCACATTTCGAAGTGGAATATCATGTTCAATTCACCACGGTCGTATCCTACGGCGTTCAGGATTTCCCTCACGTCGTTGACTTCAGGCATTTCGCCGACGGAAAATGCGTCATATTCTTTCAGAATGCTTCCAATGCCCCGCAGGTATTCATGCAGCTTTGGACCGCAGGCATAGTACTGTGCACCACTTTGCCACTCAGAATCTGGGTTGCTGATCGGCGCATTTGGCAACAACGGGTCCTTGCTGATGAAGTTGATGACATCCATTCGGAATCCGTCTACACCTTTGTCCAACCAGAACCGAATAATCTTGTGTACAGCGTCTCGGACTTTGGGATTCTCCCAATTCAGGTCGGGTTGTTCTGTGGCAAAAAGGTGGAGATAGTACTCTCCAGACGCTTCATCGAACTCCCAGGCGCTACCTATCTCGATGTCAGTTACTTGATAAGACACTGTGGCATTGTGTGAGAATTTACCTCCAAAGTAGGACACCCAGTTGTTTGGCGGCTGACGCTTGCCATCGGCGCCAAACACTGGTTTCTTCCAGATATACCAATCGCGATAAGGACTGTCTACCGAGGAACGGGCCTCGCGGAACCATTCGTGCTAAAGATGTGTATGTTAATTTCCTTATCCGTGTATTCACATGGTAGGGAGGAAGTGGGACAAACCTGGTCGGATGTGTGGTTGACGACGAGGTCCATCACAAGTTTCATTTTCCGCTCATGAAGCTTTAGGATCAAATCGTCGACATCCTCGACAGTGCCGTATGGCGCATGAATACTGTAGTAGTCCGAG